CCATCAAATCAGAACATGAATGAAAAAAATTCACGGGTGAACTTAAGATCCCCGACCTACCGGGTGAGAGACAGGTGATGTTGGCCAGCGAACCCTCAAAATGTCAACTCATGCCAAAAAAAGAAAAGTTGATGCCGAATGTCGCGTTTTCAACAAAACATGGACTGGAAAGTATTTGTTTACAGAAGTCAAAGGTAAAGCGGTGCGCTTAGTTTGTAGTACACAGGTTGCTGTGTTCAAGGATTACAATTTGAATCGCCACTACGTGACCAAACATGAGGGGAAATACAAGAACTTGTCGGATGAAGAGCGTGCAAGAGAGTCGAATGCTTTGCTAGTGAAACTACATAACCAACAAAGACTTTTTACAAAACTTTCCACACCCAGAGGTGCAGCTTTCAAGACAAGTTATGTCATATCCCACAAAATCGCCAGAAAAAATAAGTCGTTTTCTGACGGAGAGTTAATTAAAGAGTGTTTGTTGGACTCTGCAGCACTAATATGCCTGGAGAAAACGGACGCATATGAGAACGTGCCCCTCTCCCAACACACTGTAACAAGGAGGGTTAAGGACATCGCAGGAAATCTTTGGATCTACCTACATATGTGAACAGACATTCTCAGTGATGAAGTTCAACAAATCCAGATTTCAATGCACTTGTTCAAGCCCAAGCCAGACTGGATTTCTCTCACTGAACAAGTAAAATTAACTGAAAATGTATATCTTTACCATACTGCAAAACACCTTTTCAGTGTTATGTGAAGTAGAAAATAAAATGGAACTGTGATGTAATGTTTGTTTTTCCCCATTTAGGGATTGCCACAGCAAACCACATGCTGATATTTGGCATGTGTTTTAGGCTGGATGCCCTTCCTGAAGCAACCTGGGGCGCCATGGCAAGAGTGCTGCGCTTTAACCACTAGCCTACCAGGTACAGCTTACACTAGTACTCTTGTGTAAAAACCTAAAAACGGGTTGGTGCCAACCCTAACAGAAGAAGAAGGCTAAGGTCTAAAAGACAATAAGTTAAGTTTGTGCTGCCTGAAATAAACATCCCATATGAGTACAATGAGTTCCCCTTGTGCAAACACTATGTCAGAAGGTTTCTCAATCTGGGTTGCAACTTGAGAGGGTAACGGGTATTATTTCATCCTAATCAGTCAAGGCACCATTCACAACTGTTTTGTTTTTTGTTTTTTCGGTGAATGAAGCTTTAGTGGAGATCTGTCAGTGAACCACAGGGGTCTACCCCCCTGCCCAGACTACAGTTGCAAGAATACATACAATGTCTTAAAATATGATCAGATCTACATCTGAGTTACAATAATGAACTAATCTATTTTAACTAATAATACATTATTTTATTGTTCTTGTCAGTACTGAATAAATCATTACACCTTTGGCAGTGTAAGTTGGAAAAAGCATGCAAACCCCTTGGCTATCGACAGGAGTTAGCAAATCTGAAGTCCAATCTGTGAAACCAGGTTGGAGGGGTGTGTTGGAGTTACTCTGACTAAAAAACATGATAAAACATTTGGAGCTTGCTATTCACAACACACCACCATGAAAACATCATCACAGGGGTGGAGCACAATGGAGGGAGCATCAAGTTGTGGTGCTGCTTTGCTGCCTCTAGGTCTGGACAATTTACAAGGGGAAAATGAATTCCCAAGCACCAATAAATCTGGAAGGTAAGTTTTTTATAACAAGAGTCACAGTCAAACTCACTGTTTACCCACTTAGAGCATCCCCGACAGTAAAAACAAGTCGGCTCACTAGTTCACTTCAGTACCGATAAACAGGCCTCTTTAGGCATCTTGTTACAACACTGTCATCAACCCATGTATCACAATGTAGGCCCATGTAATGTGAGAAAAAAATAAAGTAAAATGACACCTACCCAGTAATCCATGTTGTCTAGGCCAACCTTCAGCAAAAGTCCTCTTTTTTGTTTGCCACTCGGGAAAGTCACCTCCAGCAGCCTATTTTAAGTCTTCAGCTTCTTACGTGTATGCTACTATTAACCCTCTATGGCATGGTGTTGCCCTCAGGAAAGAAACCACTATTTTGGCCCACACACTGCCCCTTTAAATGCTTTTTAAGTAAAACATCACATTAAAAGTCTGATGATAAGTCTGTGACCAATTGAATTTGAGGTGGGCATGGGTTTGACCTTTCGTCTGGCGATGGAACAGTCCTTTTTGGGACCATAGCCGGCTTGGACAAACTTGGACACAAGTACCGGGCTTCCAGGTGTACAGAGTGGATTGCATAGTGGAGCTGTCTGGCAAAACAAGAGGAGGTGGAATCTGGTTCTACATAAATGAAGGTTGGTGCACAGATGTCACAGTGCTACAGAGGACATGTAACATGGACTTAGAGACTCTTGTTATCAATTGCAAATCTTTTTATTCTCCCAGAGAATTTAACTCTTTCATTCTAATCAGAGTGTATATAAGACCACAGGCCCACGCTAGCGCACTACAGCTGCTAGCTGAGCTGATAACTAAAGTGGAGCTAAAACATCCCGACTCTCCACTCACTGTTCTAGGGGACTTTAACAGAACAAATCTCACCCAAGAACTGCCCAAATACAGACAGCACATCACCTGTCCCACCAGGGACAAAATCACACTGGACCACTGCTACCCAACAATAAAAGATGCCTATTGCTCTGTCCCCCTGCAGCCCATGGACTCAGATCACTGTGTGGTCTATCTTATTCCAACCTACAGTATAGGCAGAAACTTAAAGCTGCGAAGCCTGTGGTCAAACCAGTGAAGAGCTGGACTGGGGAGGATAAGTCAGAGCTACAGGCCTGCTTTGACTGCACAGACTGGAGTGTATTTGAGACTGAAGCTATAGACCTGGACGAACTCACTGACACTGTGACATCTTATATCAGCTTTTGTGAGGATGTGTGTGTGTGCCCAAAAAGTCCTTCTGCACATACAACAACAACAAGCCCTGGTTCACAGCAAAATTCAAGCAGCTACGTTGTGCCAAAGAAAAGGATGTGCGTGGCCTCTTTAAAAAACAAAGGATCAGAAAGGCATCAAGCCCAGAAGGTGTGACCCCCTCCTGCCTGAAAGTGTGTGCTGATCAGCTGGCCCCATCTTCACACTCATCTTCAACAGGTCACTGGAGCTGTGTGAAGTCCCCTCCTGCTTCAAATGCTCCACCATCATCCCAGTCCCCAAGAAAACCTCCATCAGTGGACTGAACAACTACAGACCTGTTGCCCTGACATCTGTAGTTATGAAGTCCTTTGAAAGACTGGTGCTGGCCAACCTGAAGGACATTGTAGACCCCCTGCAGTTCACCTAACAGGCAAACAGGTCAGTGAATGATGCAGTTAACATAGCACTGCATTACATTATGCAAATCCAATCAAATGAAATTTTATTTTTATAGTGCCAAATCACAACAAAAGTCATCTCAGGACACTTTACAAAGTAAGGTCTAGACCTTACTGTTATCACTATTATTACAGAGGGAAAACCCAACAAATCCCCCTTGAACAAACACTTGGCGACAGTGGGGAGGAAAAACTCCCTTTAATGGAAGAAACCTCCGACAGACCCTGGCT